TTTTTCACACTCAAATGGTCTCTACGAATTGCCAGATCCCGCGCAGTTCTGCCGTGATTCCGGCAGAGTCTGGTGCAATTCTGCCAGAACTCGACCAGAATCCACTGTATTGCATTTCATACTTAGTTTCTCTCTACGAATTCGCAGATTCTGCTCAATTCTACTGTGATTCTGGCAGAATATGGTGCCATTTCACCGGAACTCAACCAAAGCCTACTATATTCTCTTTCACACTTAAATGCTCTCTACGAATTGGCAGCTTCTGCTGAATCGTGCAGTGGTTCTGGCACAATCCTTAGTAATTTAACCAGATCATAAGCAGAATCCACTGTATTGTTTTGCACACACAGGTGCTCCCTATGAACCAACAGCTTCCGGTCAATTCTACTGTGGGCGAATCGCACCAGATTCTGTTAGAATCAGAGCAGAATGGAGCAGAATTTACCACATTCGTAGAGAGCATCTGAGTCCGAAAAAGAATCTGATTGTGAAAGAGAATATAGTGGATTCTGGTTGAGTTGTGGTAAAATTGCACCAGGTACTGCCAGAATTATAGCAGAATTGAGCAGAATCTGCGAATTCGTAGAAAGCATCTGAGTGTGAAAGAGAATATAGTGGACTCTGGTTGGGTTCTGGTAGAACTGCACCAGATTCTACCAGAATCACAGCAGAACTGAGCAGAATCTGCCAATCCGTAGAGAGCATCTGAGTGTGAAACGGATTATAGTGGATTCTGGTTGAGTTCTGGTGAAATTGCACGAGACTCTGCCAGGTTCACAGCAGAATTGAGGAGAATCTGCCGGTTGGTAGAGAGCATCTGAGTGTGAAAGAGAATATAGTGGATCCTGGTTGAGTTCTGGTAGAACTGCACCAGAATCACAGCAGAATTGAGCAGAATCTGCCAATTGGTATTGAGCATCTGAGTGTGAAAGAGAATATAGTGGATTCTGGTGGAGTTTCTGGTAGAATTGCACCAGAACCTTTTTGTGCATCTGTGGTTGATCGTGTCGAGTTCTGCGAAGTCTGGTAATTTCCTAGGAATTGTGGGAGTTGACACTGCTGTGAAAATATGTATGAAGATGTTCATTTTCCCGGCTGTAAATAGAAGACCGGATGACCCTGTTGATTTATAAACATTGTGCTTTGTAGGGGCATTGTTTGCAGTAAAAAACTGAGAGCAACAGCGGCGGCTGGGTATAGTAATTGAATATATATAGCAAACTCTTCTATTGTCACACTAGTGTACTTCCATCGCACTAGAAACACGTTTTTATATCTTGTTATTTTTTCTTGATAATAAAATATTTTAAAAATTTCGAAATGTCGAAAAGGCTTTTTTAAATAGTGACACTAATCTAAAAAATTTAATTCTTCTCGTTTCTGTAGAAATACTCCTGGCGCGACAGGCTTTTTCGGGTAGATTTCATGGTATTTCAAAAGTACTACTTAGTATTCGCAGAATCAAGTTAAAAACACAGCAAGAGAAGCTGAAGAAAACTGCTCACCTCTGATTTTTTTAAATATTTTCCCGTTTCACGGTGATGTCACCGGTGTCGTTGAATTCTGCTTCGCCATAGCTCATTACTACTAAAGAACTAAGACTTAAAAATCTGGGTATCTGTTCTACATCTCTAGTATTATTCGATTTTACGATTAGAAGGAATTTGCATAAAATCACATTAGTGGCGAGATACAGCAAAAACAAAGAAAAGTGTGATGGGACATTAGGTGGGAAGAGCTAGTTTTCAGGTCAAAACTTTTTTATTTTTAATTAACCCCAAACTTTCCTAGACGACTACAATGTTGCTACTGAAGCAGAGCGACTTTGCTACCAAAGAAAAGCATAAAGTTACTCCATGGAGTGAAAATTTATTTTCTTGCTTTCTCCTCTGGTCGATCGGAACATAGTCGCTGTCAGATCAATTTACTTCGTAAAGCGAAAATTTGTTTTTACACTCTGCTCTTCTCCTCTAGATAACATTACATAGGTTTTGAAGTATTCCGTAGTGCCAAAATTTTTATTCGGCTGATACCCCATACGAAAAGACATCGTTAGAAACGGCACGAAAAGCGCGGTGTTTTCGAACGCAGTAGCGAACGATCGTTAAAAGAGCCGTTTAAACGAATTTTTCTCGTTCAAAAGTTTAGAAAGTTTAGAAAAATTCTTCAGCAATGCGTTTGCTAACGATCGTCGAATTAACCGTTTACTGGCGTTTTTGCTGAACGCGTAACGACATTAAAATATTCGTTGGAACGCGTGTTAATATTTTGTTTCTAAACACGTTTACAAACACCAAAAAATTCCAAGTTACCGCTGCGGTAACAGGTATTTGTTTCTGCTGCACTACAATTTAACACATTCACGACCATTATCAGATTGAAGAATACATAGTGCACCGCACATACAAAAAAATTTTAACTAAATGAACCTCAACTTCTGCAACTCTTTTTGATGTTAATGGGCGCAATATAAGAAAAATGATCTTGATAGTTCATTATAAAACGGAAACTACCATCTGGCTTAACACTTTTTGATGATAGAAAATGTCTCAGCTATACGTATTGAGACGTCATATAGTGTTAAGTATCTCGCTTGAGGAGCGTACTTATCGATAAAAATATTATTCTTGGCTAATCGATATTGAAGAATTAAATAGGAAAAACAAAAGGTAATGTATAAAGAACATAGCTAGTATCTTCGTCGCTTTTAATGCAGACACATTCTTGATCAAATTGTTGCCAGGTACTTTTGTATGATCAATAAAGGATGAAGCATAAAATCTAAGAAAGTAATTGAACTTTTTTAGAGGTAAAACTGAGAGATAAGTAAACATGTATTGTCCATCGATAAAACGAGTATCATCGGATTCAACTGCAATGAAAAGTTCTTCAACATTTGGTATACATTTTAAGATCGATACAAATTCATCCATATCCCACGAGCATTCAAATGATTGCAGATAAAAATATTTTAAACTAAGAACTGAACTATATTGACATTGGATATCAACATCAGACGATTCTTCATTAATAGTTACAAGAATAGAACGCAGTTGAGGCAAAAGTGTAAGAATTTCATGAAGGTCATTTACAGTCTTTGAATCAATATGTAATTTTTCAATATTCAAATAAAATATATTCTTATTTGTATTTTCAAAATAAAAAGCTGCTGAATCATCATCGAATATGACTGAATTTAATCTATTGTTATTGGCAGATAATATTCGATGTAATAATGGTTGTACTGTTTCATCATAACTAGACTGCCAATATAGACTACGTAGGGTGATTTGAGACAATTCAGTGAGATTTTCAAGACAATTCAGCAATGACATTAATGAACCAATAGTAAATGCAATAAGGGTCAAATATTCAAACGTGAGAATGTCACAGACATTCTTTCATTAAAATGATTTAGAAAGATTTTTGGTAGAATATCTTTCCATTTATTATTCACGACTAATGAACAAATATTAGCGCCAATATACAATAGTCGTACAGATATAGTTAAATCGCGTAAATGGAACTTGACCAAGAACAACATGTCGATAATAACCACTAATCGTTTGCGATAGTCGAAAATTGAGATCATAAAAAGAGATGAGAACATCGACCGATGATAAATATCGACAAATTAATAAAAGAATTTCATCAGGCAATGTTTCTAAAGTGCTAATAACTAGTTGAACAGATAGATAACATCTGAAATTTTACAACACGTTTTACATTCACTTCAACGTAATACACGGACTGATTTTTTTTCTCGTTTCGGCTTTATACTACGTGGCTAAAGGTGAGGTGATTTTGCTAAAAAGGAAATCGGCGTTTTTGAGGGGTGACGGTGTTTAAAACCTTCGAGCTACCACGACACGTTTCGATTCAGCTTAACGGATCTCATCAGGTGGCACAATAAAATCTACATAAAATTGATTTAAAATATTGGAAATTCTTTTTAATTTTTAATTTTTAAATGAATTTTATGCAGATTTTATTGTGCCTGCGTTAAGATTGAATCTTCAGCTATCAAGGTGTCTCTCGATAAACTAAATCCCGACAGCTTCTAAAGGAAGTCGGTGCTTTCAGCGAAACCACGTTTTGTTGAATCTACCATAGCATTTAGGTTGACATTATTGATTACCAATCCAAGCCAGATGGTAGTTTCCGTTTTATAATGAACTATCAAGATCATTCTTCTTATATGACTGTTATTTTTATAAGGACTGTTATTTTCTCGGCTGTCTAATCGAATATCACTGTAATGAAATATCATTGTAGGCTAGCTTGTTTTGTTCGTGCGTTAGTAGTGTCTCTTTTATTTGTCTTTTAATTTCGGTTTTTTCATATGCCAGTATACAGGGTTCGTTTAGATTTACAGTGTGATTGTTTTCAGTGACAGATATTTTTGAAAACAAATCATCGTTTTCTATTTTCTTCTCATGCTGGTTCATTCTAATGCCTACTTTGTTGCCTGTTTGTCCGACGTTTAGCATAGTCTTTGCATTCTACACAATAAACAACTCCAACTTTTCTATGATCTTTTCGTTTGTATTTGTGTGAGAAACTGCTACCCAGTGTCCGATATTTTCGAAATCCAAATTCTATATTCGTAATACCAAATCTGTGGAGACTTCTCTTTAAACTCAAAACAAATTTCCTCGATTCACTTCCTAGATAATGAAAGGAAATATACGCCTTAATTTTATCATTGGGATTGACAACTGGTTTAGAAGAAGTAGTGATGTGTCTATTGCAGTAGCTTTCAACAGTGTTATCAAATCAATAGTTCGTTTTTGTATGTGCGGTGCACTATGTATTCTTCAATCTGATAATGGTCGTGAATGTGTTAAATTGTAGTGCAGCAGAAACAAATACCTGTTACCGCAGCGGTACGTTTAGACGCAGTTGAAATATTTTAATAATATCATATTGCGAATAAAGCCGTATCATTACACACGTATTATAAACCAATTTCAGGTATAAATACAATCCCGTTTAGTGTAATGTTTGACTGTGCATCAGAACTTGGTCTGTTATCTCTTCCTTTACCAGCAGCAATAATTGATCGATTGACAATTGAAGAAGAGCTGCTTACTTTAATCGGACAATATGGTGTTAATCAAAGAGGTGGTATTGAATTATGTGATGGCAACAGCGCTTCGAATACTGATAAAACTGGTAAATTTTCTCATCTTTTATCCTGCAGGATTTTCTTAACGTCTCTTTTGCTATTGAGTGAATTCCAGTTTCTCTCCTGTGGGAAACATTGCATAGGTCACCTTTTTTCACTGACTCTGTTTTTAATGACTGTCAAGAATAGGACATACATTTTCGATAAAACATGCTTGAAAAGCTCACAATCTTCAAATCAAAAGTGCCAATTCTGACTGGTACCTCGTCCCTGAACCAGTAAACGTTGATTACTTTGACTAACGAGGGAACCTCCCGAGGTGTCCATCTCGGATTTTTTTCATTCATATGCCAATCGATAGGTCACACTCTCTAAAAAAAATCCGTAACTTACTAAACGAATATCGGTTTTGGCATTTGCTCCTAATAGAAACCGATATCCG